CTATGGCATTGGGGCTTTCAGGACTATCAAAGAGGAAGACTGAGGATAACATCTAGAAACCCAAATGTGACATGTGATTGGGGGGACAAAACCAGTGAAGAAACACACATGCCATCATCAAAAGATATGTTCAGGCAGTTTCTGTGTGGCTCATTCGTGAGGAAAGGAGATAGTGACCCAGTGGAAAACAATGTATGGGTTTGTCTTGCAACATCCTGGTAATTAATTGCTTAGATTTAGTAAGCATGGTCTAGATTTCTAATAGAAACTTCACTAGAGGATCACAGGTTATTGAAAAGACTTCTGACCCCCAGACCAAATGACTGTGTTTTTGACCAGCTTCACCACTGCATGATTGTGGACATTGTCCAAGTCACTGGATTTATTGCCAGCTAGACTAGCTGATCTCCAGGTTCTCTGCAGCTCTGTGGTTCTCTGGGTAATTGAACATTTTTTTTGTTTTTTAAGTTTGCACCTGACTAGTGGTTGATACCACCAGCCTATGTATGGATAAATGATGCCTAGATTCTTAATAGAATGTGTTGGAAATGTAAGGTGGTTATTAACCTGCATGGATTATGGAATTTGAGGCCATTTAAAAATCATTGAACTTGTCTTAGTGGTCACGCAGTCAAGCAAAAACCAGCCTCAATGCTGTTAGAACTGTTTATTTTCTAACAAGCCAACAAGGGCCATTAGTCCTATTCTCTGTCATCGATTTTGGTCAGAAAAATTCTCCCTATCTACTGTAAAAATATGCAAAAACTGGACCAATGATGTGTCAAAGCTACAGATCAACTACTACATTTTATTCAGCTTTCTATCCAGCTTCCTGACAGCCTGATATTTGTATTGCACCAAGACTATGTTCAGACTAAGCTTTAAGGAAAAAAAAAAATTATAGAGTTGTCTTTTTCAGTGAGAAACTGTGTCTCTTACTATTTGTTGGTGAGAGCACATTGGCCATACCTGCCTTTATTCTGATAGAGGGTTAGATATTCTCTGAACATCTTATTTCTTCTGCCTTAACTTTTTATTCTTGCAATGTCCACTTTGGATGGATAAACAGCAACATATGTTGTCAAAGACAAGACTGGTGCTTATGGGAGTCAAGTATTAATTGGTGAAGGTTACATTCGTAGAACTAGTCTGACATACCTGTGTCATAAATATATCAGAGAAAATTTTGTTAAGCAGAATGCCAATTTCCCCTTGTGTACTATCATTTTCTGCCTTTGATCTGTAGGTATGTATGTTAATTTGCTTATTTTTTATTTATGTCATATTCAGGAAGAAAAACAAGTTTATTTTAAGTGTCAATTCACCTGAATATCATGTTGTAGTGTAGAACATCCCTGCACATAGTAAAGGCTCAGTAAACACTTGTTCTAAGAATGAAAAATGAAGCATTGGCACATGGCCTTTCTCTTTCAGATGTTTTTATTGACATCAGACCTTCTTTAACTTTAAAGGCATTCATAATTATTATGGAGCTGCTCTTCTGTCCAAAACTTTGGTCTCAGTTCCTTCTATTGCTGGGATTCAAATGTTGATCTAGGTGACATTTGTATCCAGGACACTATAATTAAAGTAGAAAAAGTGAGATTCTACATATGAGTGACTACATGTTTATTAACTGCCTGAGCTCTTAGATAAAGCTTAAACAGGAATATTAATATAAAATATATCTATTCCCTAAAACACACAAAAAATGAAAATTCCTTTACTTTAATGCCCTCCTAGTTTTTTCCTCCAAGATGATTTTCTGGTAATTTTGGCATTTGCATTGTGACTCAAAAATCTTACAGAATTCTTGTGCATTAGGTTGACCAAAAAGAGTTTAATTACAAGGTAAAACTCCTACTTGAGTGTTTCTTATACATGCATTGAAGGATAAAATTTTCTTCGGGAAATTATGTTTACATGAAAATTTCTCATTGATATTTTTGTCACCTTCAGAAAATTTCAGACTTAGTAAAGATATCCATCTGTACACTCTATTCATGCCATTGTCTCTGTCATTTCTGAAGGGATTACATTCCAATTACTTTTCTTGTGCTCACATTAAACTTAATCTTACATGTTCAAAATTGTTTTTAAACTTTAACAAAATAACTGTTCTGAGAATGGGCTGTATGTTTGGTTTATATGGTGTTGCCTTATTTATATGCCTTATGCGGCAAATTGACAAGTTACTAATATCACCGCAATATGCAAGTGGTTTTCTTTCGCAAAACTGTGACCAGCCTGAAAAAAAGGAACAGTACATATGGGAGAAACATTTCAATTGTCCAAATAAATAAATCTTGACTGTGTTGTTTTGTCAAAAAGTACCTATACTGATTTGGGTTGATTAGTCATCCCCATGCTAATTTTTAGTATAAGTATAAACTGACTAATAAAAGTGACCGTCCTCACTTGCTAATAAAATTCAACTTTAATTCCCAATTTAGATATCCCCCGAGAAGTACATCATTGCAGGAATTTGCATCAAATCCTAATTGTTCTTTCTCTGTGTGGCAGCACAATGATTAATATATGTACCACCACACACACACACACACACACACATGCACAATTAAGACACACCTATTTTGTTGGTGGTGATGAAAGACAGAATATTTCATACTTTGCATTGTGCCTTTTTCCTCTGTCTCTCTCTTTCTCATCCCCCAGATACTAACTGCTACTGTTTTCAACTCTAAAGTTTTCAACTCTAAAGCTAAAGAAATAAGAAACTGCATGAATATGCAAAATAGTAATTGTTTTACTCGTTTTCTTTATTGTAGGTAGCTTACAGTGTTGTTGATCAATTTCCCTGTTTGTTTTGCAAACCATTGACAGACCTTGCTAAATACTACTCCCAAAATTTTGTTTAAAATAATATATCCACTAAAAGAAGTACAGTAATTTTTATTTTGTGTATTTGTATATAGTCTCTTCTTTTTCCTTCCATCTTTCCAACTATAAGAATTAAAATTTGACCAGAATATTAACCAAATGTTGGGGGGAAAGAAATTTGTTAAAAATAGTTTTTATTCTTTGTGAAAATGGGAGAAATGAGAACAGATCAAGAATAAATGGTAGTGGATGAGTCGGGCTAGTTTGGCGAACAGAAAGCTGGAGTAGGATTTATTTCCTGGCACTGCTTTCTTAGCAAAGAGAACAATTTTAATCAGTTACAAAAATATTTGTGATCCATATGTTCTGCTCATCCCCATATGCCCATATTCTCTTTTATCTTGGTAGATGATGACTTTATGATTCAGGCATGCAAGAATAATACCTCGCTGACTTTCTAGCTCAGTGCTATTTCAAAACTCATCCTGGTAATTACGCACACACATCTATCCAGGCTGTTCATGCTTTGAGTTAGTTACATGAATATCAGTTTGTTCTTTCTTTCTTCCTGGAAAGAATTATATCTTGTATTCTCATACTGAGGCTGGAATAATGCATCTAAGGCTTAGATTTGAAAACCATATTACCATTTACCTACTGGATTAAGTGAGGGTCAGAAAAAGGAGGCAAAAGGTGATAACTTCTTTCAACTTCAGAAAAGAAAAAGAGAATCCAAAAGGCATTTGATAATTCCATCCATCATTGAAATTTATTCTAAGACATATTAGATCATGGGCTTGTTAAATATATCCTAATTTTAAGACATGGTGACTGTTTCTATTATCAAGTGTTAGTTATAGTAGCCAAAAATTGAAAAACAAAAGTTACTGTTGATTAGCAATCCATTTCTTCCTAAATACATATTTGCTTCTCTCTCAATAGCTATATAATTTCTAACAACAAAACATATTTTAAAGACAAATTACTCATCTTAATAAAACACAAATAAATCCACAAAGTATTGACTATAAGTGATTGCTTTTCTCAACAGTTGTTTTTCTCTTGCACAACGAAGAGCTTTGTAATCCAATACATTATTAATATAGTCACAGTAAAATCCTGTGAGGAGCCAGTTGTGCTCATTTCAACTTGGAGGAGGGAGTAGCGAAGAGGACAGGGAGAGGGTTTCTAAACTTCAGATGAAATAAGTGGGATGCATTTAGTGTTTTCATAGGTGGGTATGTGATGGAAGAATTGTGCATGCTGGTGTGCGGCAGCAAAAGGATAGACATACACCTCGGCATTGGCAAATGTTATTAGAAGCCCTTCTCTATGTTTGCATTCAAGCTGTCTTGCCGTAGCTTCTGTAGGAGTTGTGAGAAAAAGAAAGTGCACATTATAGCATGGATTGTTTTCAATAGGCTCGAAGTTTGCAAATGTGTTGAAACCCTCTGACAGTGTTCCTTTGCTGTCAAACAGAATGCCCAGCTGGCGGTGACAATCCCAATGGGGAGGGAGGGTTATGAATTGTGTTCACCATGCAACAGAATATTAGGAATTCTTCCTCCCAAACTGTAAGTGGAGAGAAAGGATCTCTCTAAGCCATGTCATTACGAAAGTTTTTCTTTTTTTCTTTTTTAATTTTTATAGCTAATACCTTACTAAATTAGAACCTTTAAATATGCTTCATTGAGATAACTTTCATAAAGAAAGAAGTCACAGAACCAGCATTAAAGTATATCATATGATAAATCTGTAATTAAGACAAAGGCTTTGGTTTAAAAAAGGAGGCAAGACTTTTTGCTCCTAGGTGATCTTGATTCTCATTGAAGCAAACACACAACTTGTTTTTTTTTTTTTTTTAATACAAAGTGCGAGATTTCACTAAAAAAGGTTAAAATTGAAGTGAGTAATCTGCGGTGCATAATGCAATTGTTAATTTTAGCTCCTTGCGTGGGTGCCGTTCTGACTTGAACAGCCGGCTGTAGCCTTCATTAGAGAAGAAGCAGGCAGCTTGAGACAGGTGGAGCTGGATCAAGCTGTGAACGTGATTTGCTGGAAGCTGGTCATTAGTGTTAGAAACCCAGTCTTCTTTATTTTGTCCTTCACCCTACCATGATTATTGCAATTATTATTATTTACTTTTCATCTTTTTTCAGGTTGACGATGATGTGTCAAAGTGTGTAAAGGAATCGCATGGAGATGGGCATTCCGAACTGTTAAAGGGGACATGGGACTCCAGTTGTCTCTGATCACTTGTGTGGATTTTCCCGGTGTAGAACGACAGAAGCCGCTAGTAAGTCGCCAAGACCTACAGCAGGAATTCTGCGTGCAAGGTAAAGGTCTTGTTGTCTGGCTGTCATCTCATCTGTATAGTATTATTATTATTTCTTTATTATAGAAATGTGCTTGTTTGCATAGAGCAGTTCACTGCATGTAACCGTAACGGACAGGATCTATATAGGGACTCATTTGGCTTGTAGTTTGGAAAATTAGAGCTCAATTTGTTTACTCCATTTTAAATCTGGTCATTATCTGGTGGGTTTTTTTGTTTTTGTTTTTGTTTTTTTTCTTTAATCAAAACACTCTGAAAAATAAGGTAGAGCAACAGAGGTCCCGTCTCCTCCTCCTAATCTATACATTGAGAAACAAGTTGCTTGCCCTTGGGAAACAAAACTTTTGATTTTGATAGCCATAAACATTGACTGCCACTGAAATATGAGAAGTTTGGCAGAATGCACTGGATGAAATATCCTAAAACCTCCCAAATGCTAAAATCATTGCTCAGTAGCCACTTAGAGTTTCAAACCACCGTTCTTTAGGAAAACTTTTTCTTTTACATTCCCACAATGCTTTGCCAAATGAGCCCGTGTATTTTAAAGATATCATTAAATACCACCTGTCCTGTCATAGTAGATTTTAGCAAATTTACAATAAAAATTTCTATGTTTTAGATTTTTCTCACGTTTCTAATTTCCAGTTGGAAATAGTTACTTAATTAGTAAGTGGTAATTAAACACCCTCCAAAGAAACATATCAAAACACTGATTTGTCCAGTAATAATTACCATTATAATGACCGGGAACGGGGCAGTCACTGCTCGAGAATTTTCGTGAAAGAACTGACTTTCTAAGCTACAGCGTCTGTATGTCATTCTCTTTCTTTCCTTCTTTCCTCCCTTCCTTCTTTCTTTAGTTTTTTCTCAAGGCTTAAAAAAAAAACGAGGAGGAAGTAAATGCTAAATTATTCATGAGCCTCATTTGACAGCACATCAGAAGGGGAAGTGTCAGGTTTTATGGAGGTAGGGAGAAAAAAATAATAACAGGCTTTAACTTTGAAAAGCCATTTCCAGTGTCTGTATAGTAGTCTATTGTGAGCCTGGAGTAGAGGAGCTCGGTTGCAATAGCTTCATTAGAGCCACCTGCCAAAGTCTTCCTTCCGCAGCATCCTGCAGCACCAGCAACTGACAGGAGCTTGGGAGAGGGCTTATGCTTTTAATAATGTACCTGTCAGTTTGAAGCCTGGAAATGTTGACCCTCTAAGGTTTATTGCTAAATTTAGATTCAGTATTTATACTGAATTATTACCTCTTCAATTGATTTTTGCCCTTTGTAGGCACACTGTATTGTTTATACCTAGGGAAATGTGTCTATGGTTGAAACTTGCAAATAATGTTTGAGTCACTTAAAGATGCTGCAGCACATTGATACCACCTCTTGACTCAGAAGTTGAGAGTCATTTGCTCAAGAGTTGAAAAAATGTGATCCTTTTCTTCTTCTACTTCATAGTGGGTCATGGATGCTGATAGTTGTGTGGGAGTTAGGTGTCTTCATTTAAGATTCGTTGATCCATTTTGATGAAAAGGTGAATTCACAAGTGTGTTTGCATGTGTGTAGAGGGGGTGTGGATGGAGTGACCTCATCTGCCTCTTGTGTATGCCTTGGGTACTTGATTTTGTTTTACTTTATTCTCCTTTTGTATAAAATTGGCTTGAGTTACTCATGCGAATTTGAATAAAAAGGAAGAAACAAAAGGTCTCAAAACTAATAGTAAATACTTCATTCCACAGTAACTTTATTTTTTGATCTCTTCAACTTTTAGGGCGTAAAACCTTGTTATTTTAATTTGCATCTGGGAGAATGTCTGAGCAAGCAGACCTGAATCAGACGATAGTGGAGGAAGGAGGGACTGAACAGGAGACAGCCACTCCAGAGAACGGCATAGTGAAATCTGAAAGTCTGGATGAAGAGGACAAACTGGAACTGCAGGTGAGACTGCAGAGACCCTGACGCCCATACTTTGAAGATTTCTTTTCTTTCTTTCTTTCTTTCTTTCTTTCTTTCTTTCTTTCTTTCTTTCTTTCTCTTTCTTTGTCTCTCTCTCTTTCTTTCTTTCTCTTTCTTTGTCTCTCTCTCTTTCTTTCTTTTTTTCTTTCTTTCTTTCGAGTTTGACTAGTTACATGATTAGGAAATATGTAATGCTAATCTTTTCCTTTCCCAATTATTAGTCACATTTTCCCCTGACTGAACCATACTCTAAAATGCATCTTTAAATGAAAAATATCTAAGGAAGGTATTTAATTACTGAATTTGCACATAGCATCCTAGTATCAATTTTCAGACTACCTCAAGGTGTAAGTGGAGGGCTTCTCCTGGGACAGCTTTAGGCTAGCTGAGTTTTAAAAATAGATTTGCTATTCCATGGAAAGATAAAGACCCAGTTCATGGTAGACTGAGAAAAATCAAAGACATAAGCCCTGTTGAACTTCATGGACATGCTGAGGTTCAAAATCTTATTAGAAATCAAACCTAAGCCCTAGAATTCCCATTCAAAGTGAGAAAGCATTAAAAAGGGCAGGGGGGGGGATTGGGAGTGATTGAAGAAAGTGAAATAGCGTTATGATTAAATACACCATGATTTACAAAAGAAAGAGATTTGGTAGAGGGAAAACAAACTGTATTTGCAAGTTACCTGTACCTATTGATTCTCTTTGAACTAAACTACAAAAGTGTTAACTCTTTATATACCAACAGTTAACAAAGGCAATAACTACATAATAGCCAAAAGACTTCAACGACCTGCTTTCTCCCCCTCCAATAGGTGCTGCAAGGAGAGACAGCTGGAAGTTACATGGTCAAAAGTTTTTAAAAGCTAGGGAAGGGGGAGTTCTCCCTAGTGGTTACAATGCCTATTGCTATTATTGATTTCTCCACCATATCAATGGTAGTGACACCTTTTCTTCTCTCTCTTTCTCTCTTCTCTGATGTTGGTTTACTGTTTGCTTGTTTTATTTTATTTGTTTCTAACATACAGAGGCGGCTGGCGGCTCAGAACCAAGAGAGAAGAAAATCCAAGGTAGGTTTATTGAGATTCAGAATAGACCTGATTTCATGGATATAAATTTCATATTTTACATTGGAATTCAAGGATTTGCTATAATTCAGATGGTTGTATGCAGATATTGTGGTGGATCCTGGTTGTACTGCTGCTGTATGCTTGTAATGACATTATGTTCAAGTGTATCTTTCTTGCTCTTAGAGTTTGAAATAGCTACAAATTTATATATTGGCTTCTGTTTTCACACTTGGAGATTTGATAGTGCCTTACAAAATGAGTAGCCACGTGCTCAGCTTTTATTTTAAATAAAATTTGGAGTAGATGTTTTAGTCTCATCAATTGATTTCTGCCTTTAAGTAAACAGGTGCTGTCATTTAGTACACATTCTTTATCGTTTTAAGCATCTTCTCATTCAAATTCCCTGCAAACTTAGTTTTAGTGGAAATTAATTTTGTCATTTGTCCCTCCCTTATATTTTCATGAAATGGCAGCAATTCATTCTTCATGGGATCCCTATGCAATGGGCACAATTTGCGAGGAGTGTTCCTTAAATTCATCCTTGTACATTTGCCATCAGCTCCATTCCCATCAACACAGAGATTTCACGCTTTGAATCTTTGTAAACAGAACTGAGCGGCAGACCTGAAGCTGGTCTTACAAATCTGATTTGGGAACGTCTGTGAATGTAGGAATGATCTGACAGCCTGAGAATGTTTCGTGTTTGTATTCTTTATTTTCCTTTTCTTTCCTTTTCTTTCCCCCTTCCCAGTCAGGAGCAGGAAAAGGTAAACTGACCCGCAGTCTTGCTGTCTGTGAGGAATCGTCAGCCAGACCAGGAGGTGAAAGTCTTCAGGATCAGGTATATCCCCTGTCATTATCACTAATTGCATGAACGGGGTCCACCTTTGTGTGCATGACTGTTAATTTGGTGTTAAACAGTGTTTTGGGGGAGAAAAATATAATGGAAGAAAGAAATCCTTTTCTGGCTTCATCCCCTGTTTATGAGACATTCTAAAACAGTTTAACAGTTTGTCACAGAGTGTTATTACGTTTGTTTTTTTCCAGACCCTCTGAAAACTGCAAATGGAAAGGAATTCAAAAGAATTTAGATTAAAAGTTAAATAAAAAGTAAGCACAGTAGTGCTGAATTTCCTCAAAGGCTCTCTCTTGATAAGGCTGAACCAAATATAGCCCTAAGTATCCCATCTCCTTCCTTATTGGAGATGTCTTACCTCTCAGCTCCCCAAAATGCACTTGCCTATAAGAAAAACAACTGTTGGCTTGTATGAAACTTAAGAAATAGTGAAAAGGGTGCATTGAACCTTGGAGAAATACTTTTATGGCCTTTGGTGGAGATTTCTCTATACTGCAAAAATTGTCCAGAAATGAATCCAAGCTAATGGTGAATTTAAGTTAATATTACTAATGTATCACTGCACATCCTTACTCTTATTTTTGCCTTTTACAGCAAGAATGTTAAGGCTTAAAATTTTTAATTCCAACAAAACTCTTCCATGACAAAGTGGGAAACTTCACATTATATTTATTTCTGTTTGCCTTTTAGGCATCACATTAGCTTTTATAAAAAGTCTTGCTACTGAAATTTTGCTTATTTTATCAGAGGCTGAGAGCAGTCAAGACAAAAGTAAAATGACCTATCTGAGCCCAGGGAGAGAAAATTGATTAAGATATCACTATTGTTATTTGGTTTGTTTTGCTTTTCTCTTCTTATTTTAATTGAAACACTCTGAATTCCCCTCATGGATACAGAGAGCATTGAGAAGAGCATTGAGAGCACTTTCTTTAAAAGGACCAAAAATAAATTCCTTATAGATTTTGTCCTAAAGAGTATTTTTTTTTTCTAATGTCATTTTCTTAACATGCCACTCATGTCATAAGGCATGAACAGGCTATCTTTCAGTAGCCATTACTGTGTCTCATACACATGCTTTATTTTACTTGGGCTCTGAGAAATGTGTGGCTTTTCTTCAGCATTTTATTTGTGCTTCTATTTTTAATGGAGATTGAAAAGGGGGAATAATGTGAATATCACGGCTTGTATTATTCGATGTTGATTGATGGATTGTAATGTACTGCACATGATATATGTTAACTCTGCAGAATGACAGACCCTGGGAGAAGTAATACCCCAGTTGTCCCCTACTCCTAATGCCAGGCAGAGAAGGACAGCCTTCATGGTCTTAATTTGGTTTTTGTTCCATTTGACAAGGTACCAGGAGGAAATTTTTTAAGAGATCATCTGTATAATAGTGTTTCACCCTGCACCTAAGTTTAGTTTCTACACACAATTGGTGCAGAGAAATAAGATGCAAACGGTGCTTTGTCCCTGCTGGTTCCAAGCTCAGAAACCCAAGACTAGCTTTATAGGAGAGAATTAGCCCTTGGAAGCGTCTCTTTGGACTAGCTGAGGTGTGGTGGGAGCAGGGGACTGACTGAAAATACCTAGATGCACATATAAGCAAGTGGCCATGCTCCTTTTTTAAGAGAATAAAGAAGCAGACCTTTGAGCTTATATGCAATGCCTTCATTAGGTACCACCGGCACTTACAAAATGTGTGGACTGAATCCCAGAGAACACTGGCAGAAGTACACAGTATATGGATTGTATTGCTTCCCCAATGTTTGTATATTCACAGTATTTGGAAAACTGCCTTCATTTTCCTGTGTGGGAAAAACTCTTGCTACCTGTATTACTTGATCTCAGACCCATACCTGATGGTTCAGTCTGTCCTTAAGTTAAAGGAATCTTGCTTTTCTAATGTTATACTATTTACCTATCAGTGTATTACTGTGACTTGAATCATTCTTTTACTGTTGTTGGATATAAACTTATCCTGTACCTATGTATTTATTAACACTTGTATTTTATTATTGAGCATATCAATAAAAATATTAAAAAATAACAGATTGTTTTTTACCAACTCTATAGCACTTTTGTGTATTCTTTCAACACCATAATTTATATTTATGCATAGGAAAGATAGATTTTTTTCCCACGTATATACTATTTGTCAACACATGGCATCAGCTTGTACCTTTCTTTTTTTTTATTTGTAGTGGATGTCCTTAGCCTCTGCCCTTGAATTTACAATATATTTCCAAGCCTCTCTGATTTTAGATTCAAATTTACAGAGGCTGAATGATTCAGTTGGTTTTGAAGAAACAATGAGGCCATTTTCATAACCCAGGTATCCTCAGTTTCCCCTTCTGACCAACTGATGAATTGGTTCTTTCCCCCTCCCAGCCATATCTTCTGAGATAGAAAAGTTCCAGTGGTTTCCTTAGGAAGAAGAAGCAAATCATAACCCCAGAACCAGCCTGAACCTTTGCAGATTAAGACATTTCTGTCCCAAATTGTATGATAAAAAAACTCTATAAGCAAATTACATTCAATTTGACATATTTTGTATATGTCCATCCCCAGTATAAACATGTGAAGTCAGAAAACCCAGCTAAGATAAATATTTATGGTGAGAATGTGTTTTATTTCACCCTTTATATCGTGTGTCTTTCCGAGCATGCTGACTTTTTATTCTAGCCAGGAGTTCACAACGGAGCCCCTCCCAAAAATGAAACTTGGGTTTGGAGGACTTTTGCTTTATTCTCGTTAGATTAGCCAGGTATACCTAGAACCCATTAAGATTCCCAGATTGGCCACAGGTTGAGGAGTTACAGGTGTCAGTTTTGTCACATGTAGAATGAGCATTAGTTTTGTTTTCAGTGATAGACACTATTAGTCATTGGAAATATTTTTTTTCCTACATTATAAATTTTAATGTCACTAGTGGAAGAAAGCTTTCCCACCAAGTGAACTCTTACATAAGAATGAGTGGGCTTAATGTTAGCTAATTTATCATAGTTTTAATCATAGCATAAGTTTTTCATAAAACTAAAAAACATGATTTGGCTGATTCTTCTTCCAAACAGCAATCATACTATCAACCAAATTGCTGATATATGTGAGTTAATACAAAATAGTCTGTTTTCAGTACAAAATAAATATAAAAGTAGATCTAGCCCCAATACTGTCAGTGGTCAATCTTATATCTAGCTTTGGTTCAAGAGAATCTCATATTTTGGAAAGAATTAAATGATACTTATATAAAAATAAAATTAAATATTTATATATAATTTATGGAAAATATAATTCTACTTGCTGCCTTTTCTAAATGGCAATGCTTATTGTAACTATATATTATAATGATTTACCAATAACACTTGTAAACAATTATGATAATAATCCACACATAAGATTCCTGTAATTATAGTTTGCTTTCTTATATAGTAGAAATCATTGCTGATATGGTTCTAAAATAGACTTTTTATTGTAAATAGGCTATTAGGGCTTTCTTTATGTCTGTTCAACCTGTAATTATGACATGTAATATCTGTCTGTCTGTGTTTGTACCAATTTCACCTTATAAGGAATTATAGAAGAGAACTGCAGAAGCCTTTTTTTTTTTTAAAGACACGACAGTGGCTGTGAAGCAAGCTTACTGATAGAGGAAGTTTTCCCAGGTGTTTAAAAATAAACCTGTAGAGAAAATAAGAGTTGTGATCTACAGGAATTTAACTTGGTTGAGGTTAATATTCATGAGGCAAAGTTTTAGCACTAGATGTTTCTCATGACCTCCCATTGACTTCTGAAGTTCAATTCACCATAAAGGGCAATTATTTTTCTGACAGGTTTAATTTTTACCATTTAAGAAAAAGAAAAATCTTCACCTGGCTTTCATTTTCCTGTACTTCATAATCTCTATACAAAATGGAAACCAGACAGAGATTATTAAATCTGGCCCTAAATTATTATATTTTTTCCCCAACAGGAATCAATTCATTTACAGCTTTCCAGTTTTTCCAGCCTGCAAGAGGAGGATAAATCTAGCAAAGATGACTCTGAAAGAGAAAAAGAAAAGGATAAAAACAAAGATAAAACCTCTGAAAAACCCAAGATCAGAATGTTATCAAAAGGTGAATGTGAAAATGTTTCCTAATTTCCTCAATTTGGGCATATAAGTAGTCAAAGAACACATTCTAGATTTCACGTGCATAGACACCACCCACCAAACTCTGCATATACTTTCATATGTGTAAGTATGTGTGTGTGTACAGGATGTGAACTTGACTTTCTGTTCATGGTGTCATTATTTGTGTAGCTAGAAAATCATTTACTTTTACAATCACAAATTTCTTTAGATTCATATTTGAATCTTCTGTTTTCAATGACAAACTTGTACAAAGGAGAAAAGATAAATCCTGCTCTTAATTCCCATTTGTGAGACCAATTAATGTGGATTGGTGAACAGTAATGATACTCAATTTTATATCCTAACTTTCATGATTATCGTAAAAGACAGATAGTGGAATGGCAATTCTTGGTTGATGAATGATGTGGTCCCCAAAGCACAGATGTATATGCCAATGGAATATATGATAAACATTTTACCTGGCACAGATAAATTAGGTTTCTACACCCATGTACTGTCACATGATGTTTGTCTTAAAAAACACACACTTCTACTTCAGTAGTTTTCCAAAGAATGTCATTTCTTCTAAAACCACAAACCTACTATCTAGACCTTTCAAATTGTTGCCATATATATCGTTGTACAAAACAATAGTAAGTTGAATTGAAATGAAGAGTGCCATAAATAAATAGCTTTAGAGAAGACTTTTTGTTTTAATAACTGAGAAAGAATTGAATATCTTATTAGCTGAGGACTGACAACTGTTTCTAATATCTGCTTATAATGTGTTGTCTCTACTGCTGAATATCTAAAACCCACGGTGTATACAAGAGTAAAGAAGTCCAGGTTCCTCAAACAATTTTAAAATTAAACTTTAGCCAGCATGAGGAGATTTGAAGACTTGGAAATATTTAGTGCTGTCCTGTGTTTTGCACTGATTAATATTTAGATAGTCTCATAAAACAACTTCATTTTTTGCCTTCTCTGTTTCAAGAGAAAAAGGGTTCCATGGAATCTCAAACTCTTGAGAGCTCTCTCTCTGAGGGCTGGGGTTACCTGTCATGTGGAGTTTGTGCCCTTGGAGATTTACAGTACAGAATGAATTCATGACATGGGCTCCACCCTACATCCCACCCACTCTGTACCCACTTCCCCTCCTGACTTATGGGTCTTTCCACAGTTAGGATCTTCAGTGTTTTCCATCCCTGAATCTAATTTTCATTCTGATGATATACTGCCCAGGTTGCTAGTTTTAAACATGTAAATTCATACCAATGGCTTCATCTAAAATTTACCTGAGCAGGAGGTAAACAGGAAAGGTTGGGAAAACGTTTTCCACTTTCCCACAATCATTCCTGACAACTCCATCCTGCTATTTGTTTCAGATTGCAGCCAAGAATACACGGATTCTACAGGCATAGACTTACACGAGTTTCTGATTAACACCTTAAAGAATAATTCCAGGTAAATTATTAAATAAGCCTCTTATTTTTAGAAGGACTAAATAGAATATTACAAAGTTATTAGTCCAAACACTTCCAAGAAGGCAGTTGTAAAATGGAGATACCTTCCTTCCCTGACATCTTACACTATCTCCTTTATTTCCTCTTTTCTGTTAATGGTTTGCATATTTGCTATTTATAGATAGTCTTAATATCGGGGTAGATACCCAATAATAAATTATAGTTTGCCAGCTCTGCTTTCCTGATAACAGAGAGATATTAAGTGGGAGAAATGGAGAATGAAAATTATTCATGTCAAATAAACCATTATGTTTCAATGTAGTTACACATTCATGTACAGCCAATACTTGGTCTTTGCTTTGTTCCAGTTTCTTATTAATTTAAAATATGCTATTAGGTATTACAAGATCTTTAACAAATGAAATCAGAAATGATCTTAAGAAAAATGAAAAAATATGTAAGTGGTCAGCATATTCCAGAGAAGAATTAGATATATGTTTGTAGCCACATACATTTAGTCTTTTCTATACATGTGATGAACTATTCAGGTCTTTTGGAATGGAAAGTACATAAAATCTCTTCACTTTAACATTTATTTTTCAGGGACAGAATGATACTCTTGAAAATGGAGCAGGAAATTATTGATTTCATTGGTGACAACAAGTATGTTAAATAGCAATGCTGGTTAATTTTATGTGTCTTAGTTTGGTATTTGGATTAAATTATTCATTCCAGAAAGATTTAGGAATAGATAAAACATTGTTTAATATGTTTCTTGATTTGTTAAACGGAGATGTTATTGGAGTTAGGAGCTATATGCTGATGGGAATTGTTGCTTGGACCATGTGTGCTCCTGCTTGTTAAATTCCTGAGAAAATGGCTATAAACAAGGGGCCACTGATTAGCATAGAGTAGTTGTAACAAGAAGCGACCCTTTTCATTTTTATTATAGTTTTTTAATGGGCTCCAGCTGGCTGCAGTCATTTATGCCTGGAAATAATTGTGCTGCTTTCAGTGTAAACCATGTAATGACACATCTCCAGATAGGCATCTGCAATTACCAATTATGTCATAAGATTTGTCCTGTGCCTGGCTTCGTTGATAAGGTATCATGGACTAAAATATTTTCCAACAGACATTAAGTTCTCTCTGGCAAGAGAAATGTGCAATGATTAAACAAAGATACTTATTGCAGCTTTATCAATAAATTTATAAGTGGAAAATTTGTCTGGAAATGAAGACACTAAGTGTTACCAGAAATGAAAGAGGCTTACAGTTTGGATGAAAGAGAAATAGTTTTGTGTGTGTATCTGTAAAGTGTACAATGGGCAAGAAATGAAAATGCTGATTCCAGTTTCTTGTATTCTGTTCCAGTAATCATTATAAAAAGTTCCCTCAGATGTCATCATATCAGAGGATGCTTGTCCATCGTGTGGCAGCTTACTTTGGATTGGATCACAATGTGGATCAAACAGGAAAATCTGTTATCAT